AGAGAGAGAGAGAGAGAGAGAGAGAGAGAGAGAGAGAGAAAGGGCTCCTAGTGGAGTGAAGTTGATTTGATCATTCTGAAGCCACCCCCTCCTCGATTTACCCTTGGTACTGTATTTTTTTCTGTGTGTTTCGGACTTACGGCTCTCCGCGGAGGGGTAGATGTTGAAGGATGGCTCCTGCAGCCAAGAGGTGACCGTGACGTGCTCCCTCACGAAGGGCGGCACGGAACAGCGGATGAGGACGTTGTTTCCGTGAAAGCCGCCGGGGCTCTGTACTTCCGGCTCGTAGTGCTGGTTCACCACTGCAACATCAACAACAACAACAGTCAATCTCCGCGAGCAGACGAGGATCGTGAAACAGCTTCTATTAAGACACTGCGTAGTACATATGACAACGTTAACTTATTCTCCATCTAGGTTACAACAGTTTTGCCATTACAATCTTCAGAAATTCACTGGAATTGGTTGTGAGTATAAAACTTTGGCATAATCATATCATGTTGTGTCAGCCCCGCAAATAAAACTGTAGAACAGTTCTAACTGCTAAACTAAAGTCTTGCAGTTTCAACTTTGAAACTGAGAAGTTACATAGCTCGAACTTCGCATCAGTATAGGGCGAGTCTTACAGTTTAAACGGCACAACTTTCCAACATTACTGTTAAGACTGTAAAACCTTTAAGTTTTGTAGTTTGAATTTGAACTGCAGTTAGAACTCACGTTGATTACACATTCAGATTTGCAGAGAGAGCAGTATCTTCCCCTTTTTTTAAGGACGTCGGCAATAGCATTATCAGCATCCGCAGTGTCGTTGCAGCATGTTTTTTTTATTCGCTGCTGTTCCGTTGATTTTCGCTGACTGACCCCCTGCGCCGGCCCCCCAGACCCGACGGAGCCCCGGCTCGCCTCGGGCGAGGGTCCAGTCCCGTCTGCTGGGAAGCTGTTTTCCAAAGTACGCAGTGCTAGTCACCGTATATACCCCGCGCAGTAACACAGAGGCGCAGTAAACGCGGGGTAACGACGTCAGTAAACTGGCCCTCCTATTGGATTACTCGCCGGGCCCTAATTTATAGACGCCGAGATGGCTGCGGACACACGTCGTGCGGGCGCTCGAGGAGAGGACGCAACTCCGCTTCCAACGCCAAAGGAAACTCGTGTCGAGTTCGGGGAAGAAACATGGGATGCAAATAAATATTTTCAACGCGAATTGTTACAGTCGCACACATGCGTCGATGCCCGCGTACGCGGTTTGCAAATATTTCCTCACCTGTTATTTTCTCGCTCAGCGAGGCGACCCACCCCAATTGTTTGCCTATCTTGCGTGTTTGCCTGCTGTACACACTAACTTGATTTGTATCTTTTATTTGTACAAACATAAGCAATCAAATTATTTGCACACTCTTCTTTGAACACTTTTGTGCACTAGAAGCCCAAGTGGGTGCCAGGTGTTTCATAATAGACACAGGTGCAGGTGGGTTTGCCTACCTGCTCTTCCCTTAAGGCACCATAGCCCCTTGGATAGGCAAACCCGCCCGACATGTGTCTTTTATGCAACACCCAGTACATAGTACACTCTTCCTGGTGTGTACTTCAAAGCACACACAAGGAAAAGTGTACTATGTACACACTTGGGTTTACAGTGTGCACTCATTTGTATGAAAATTTTGTGCACAAATTTGTCTAAAACAGTACGTAGGTGTGACTTAGTAGGAACGTTTGCACAAAAACATGCAAATACTGTTCGCGTGAGGAACACGGACGGACAGGCAGATAGATAGAGTAGGTTGGAGAACAGACGGGCAGCAGGCGGGATTTCGATCCGAGTACCGTTGCTGCTGACCCAACTCATTACAAAAAAGGGCCAGGCCTCATTAGAAATTTAAAGTGGTCCTGGAATCACAGAGTGGCCGACGCTTGCTTGCGGCTGAGGCGCAGCGTGGCAGCGCGGCGCACACCGCCACTGAAATAAACGGCCTGCCCCGTTCCAGACCAACAAAAAAGAAGAAAAAAAGAAAAGAAAGGGGAGGTTAAAAATTTTTTGGTCTCGTGATTTTCAAAACTTAACTATAATGGGCACTCGGCAGGATACTTCTTCAAGAAGTATGAGTCAATTTAAAGCCACACCCGAAAAACAAAGGCAACGTTTAGTGCGGTTCAAGGCGTATGATATAACAAGTTTATAAACTTTCGCGTGCCTAACGTATAAACACAGTTACAGGTATCAATGTCCATAGCCTTATATATATGCAGAGTAAATTTCAGTTCATAGAAAATGTATTTAAAGAAACAACGCTAAAATAATGACCTCATGTAAAACAGAGTGGAAAAAACGGTTTCATGTGCAACTTACACGTGCAATTTAAAGCCTGTGAAGCGCAATGCCCCTCAGCCTTTCCTTTCTCCTTTCGCGGCCTACTGCTGTTCCAGTTGGTATTCAGAGGCCGAGCGTTTTCGCCCTTGAGCAGGAGAAAGACGGTAAAAGCGAGAGGAAGGTGAAGAGAGGGATGGATAGAGAGGGAAGGAGAGAAAGCGAGCGAGACAGTGGGTGAGAGAGATACGGTAAGGCTTTCAGGCACATTCTTTTGCCCTACTATTTCCACCCCCACCCGGTCTCCCTCCACCTGCAGATGCCACACGCAGAGTTCTGCGGGCATTGCATCCCCCCAAAGAGCAGACAGCTTTGAGCGGCAGAACACAACGACGTGGCCAATTGCGTTGTTGTGTGAGCCTGCAGAGAGGCCCAGGCGGCGCAGGCAAGCAAGGGTGGCAAGGTGAAGCGCCCAGCAACTCGAGAAACAAACTTGAAATAAAATAAGGAGGGTTTCAAATAAATTGTAAGAAAAAAGTTGGCACGAGGTTCAGGCATCTCGAGTGGTTTGACTGGATAGGATTACTTGCTCCGACTTACTTGTACAATGCTTGAGATTGGACAGTTTAAAAACCTGATAGTGTTCAGATTTTCAGCTAGACATCTGCCAGTGCATGTGTGTCAGAGGGGGCAAAGGACAACAACCGGCGGGGGCGGGGGAGCCGGGCAGCGGACTTGGGGCCGGGCGGGTAATCGCCAGGCCACTCACATGATATCGAATTCCACGACCGGCAGCTCATTTTCCGTCTCCGTGGCGCCGGATAAAGAAGGGGGAGGGAGGGCGGAGGGCAGGATAAGGAGGCCCGTGTAACGCGGTATTGATAACCGACTTGCCGGCTGACCAAACCCCGAGGGGACGATAAGGCATGCCGGGTTTGATCAACGGTTATTGCCTCCCGGACAGCCGGGGAGCGAAAATGAGGAGGGGCTGTTCAGAGAAAGGGAGAGAGAGAAAGGGAGAGAGAGAGAGAGAGAGAGAGGGAGAGAGGGAAAGAGGGAAGGAGAGAGAGAGAGAGAGGGAAAGAGGGAGAGAGAAAGAGAGGGGGGGGGGGAGAGGAGAGAAAGACGGGGAGAAACTTCGTTAATCGGCGTTTTGCGCTGCTGTATAAAAGTTTTTGGTGGGGAGTAGAGGGAGGAGGGACATAGTGAGGAGACCAGAGCCAACCACTACCGCCACACCAGCCCCCCACTCCGCGGCGCGGACAAATGTGAATGATTATATCGTCCTCCATCCTTATTAAAGGCTGCCCCCACTCCAACCTCCCCCGCAACGCCACCAATCGCAAAGTTTTCATTGGTTGGCGCGGGCGCGCGAACCAGAGGGCGCGTTCGAATTTGCGACGCGGAAACCGGGCGGAAACCGAGAGGAGGCAAAGAGTAGCAGCCGAGTGTGGCGCACCGCGACGCGAAAATCGGGGCGTGGCTGGGTGGGGCGGGGCGTGGTGGAGCGCGGCGGTGGCCTTGGCACGGAGCGGCGAGCGGCTGGCGCCCGTCCGCCTGCCCAGCTAGGGCAGCTCTGCTGGG